AAAGGAGATGAGGAAGATAGATAGACACACAGAATAGATATAGAGAGAAAGAGGAAGGCTAATAGCTGTGTCTGCAACCTAAATTACGCAAGTAGATTGCATTTGTCATGTCATATGCTGTGCTGTTTCCTTATCATTACAATAACCAGGTGCAGATAACAGGATTAACCCACTAAAGTTAGAATGTTATGCTTAATAGAATTTCAGATAAGAAGGAGATAAGTTGATATTGAGCATATGGTAATGAAATGGGCTATTCATTCCTAAAGATAAGAACATTTAATAAAGTATACTAATCACATATACTATTCGTGAAGCGATCACGGTACCGACATCATGGACAAACGGATAAGTGATAATTATCTATAAATAAATTTATATAAAATATAGATATATAGCCGCGCAGTCAGTAATAGTGATAGCTCTCTGATAAATAAGTTATTATAAAGCAAAAATCAAATACATTGTAACTCACAAGCGGAACATGTAAATAAACATTGACGGTCGGCAGGTTTATGGGGCGCCAGGCTTTCCCACGCACGAGCTCTCGCTTATGACGCCGCGGCTGTGATGGTCTCGCAGCCCTATAGCGACATCTGGGACTACGACCAGAGGCTGCTGAGGCGCGTGCTGTGGCCCAAGATCAAGGAGGACACGGTGAGAGAGAGAGAGAGAGAGAGAGAGAGAGAGAGAGAGAGAGAGAGAGAGAGAGAGAGAGAGAGAGAGAGAGAGAGAGAGAGAGAGAGAGAGAGAGAGAGAGAGAGAGAGAGAGAGATTGATGTGTATATACAATATGCAGTCTACATGTCTTTATATTCAGCCACAATAATGTTAACGTCCCCCTCTCTTCTCAGATGAGCCACGACAGTTACACTTGCCGCGCGAAGGAATTTCGTGGTCGGCGCCAAAACCCGCGGCCCTTCCCGACGCGGCGCGACGGCAGGAACTACACAGGCTTCGGAAGGACCAAGATGAGCGTGGCGGAGAGCTTGCCGCCCTGCCCCGTTCCCTGCAGGCCGCCCAACCATAGGGACTGGACTTTTTGCTAACCCCAGGAAGCCTTCTTCTGTATATAAAAAAAAATGTCTTTCTGTTCCATATTTCTTTCTTAATGGCAGCTAACTTGATACACAAGCACACATCTGTGTGTGTGTGTGTGTGTGTGTGTGTGTGTGTGTGTGTGTGTGTGTGTGTGTGTGTGTGTGTGTGTGTGTATATATATATATATATATATATATATATATATATATATATATATATATACATATATATATATATATATATATATATATATATATATATATTTATATATGCATATATATATGTATGTATGTTTGTGTAATATATGTATAAGTATTATATGAACACACACATACATGTGTGTGTGCGTTTGCATTTGTATATACATCTTATTTATTTATTTATTCATAACACACATTACTAAATTTTACATGTAATTCGTGTACAGATGGTTACGGGTTAACATTGTGGTATGTGATAATACAGGGATTGTTATTTATATGTGAACTGTGTAATGGCAATTCCAATAACTTACAATGATGTTAGTGTATATAACCAAAAATCTTCAATAAACTTAGATTTTTAAAAATGCATTTCTCTATGTGGGACGGTGGTGGCAAATATACACACAATTGTGCATGTCATGCGTATTGATAGCCAAATTGTAAATATTCTTGTATGATACTAAGTAAACTATCCTTGTGTGTGTGTGTGTGTGTGTGTGTGTGTGTGTGTGTGTGTGTGTGTGTGTGTGTGTGTGTGTGTGTGTGTGTGTGTGTAGAAACGTTAACCAACCTATCCCCACACTATAAACGTCAGTTACTATTGTTATTATTTCCATTTTATTTTTATTATTTGATAGCGTTATGTACCTCAAAAGCACTTACATAGTGCAGCTTTCCATGAGCACTGCAATAGCCATATTTGGTCTAATTGCTCTTGCTAAACTACTGCCTTATTCCTGCACCTAATTTTCATGACGCTTACATCTAAGTTTCGTCTTTCACATCCAATTATAACTATTTCTTATCATTCTATACAACATAACACAGGCATCAGGAAATCTCGTTCCAGCTGTTTAATGTATAGTCAGAAAAAAAAGTATCGTTACCTTTAATTGTGGTCAGTGACTAGCTGAGCGCTTCTCTCTGTTAGCAACTAATTACGGTGCCTGCTTCCTTGCTTCGCTGTTCCACACTAGTTCGTCGATTTTTCATATTACTTTGCGCTAAGGGTAACGGTTCTTTTTTTCCTGGCTGTACTAAAAAAAAAGTATCTTTACTCTTCCTAACTTAACAATATGATACGACGACGATAACGGTTGGAAAAAGTGCTGTGAGCTCGACCTGATATTGATATCCCTGAGAGGGCTGTCGTTTAGTAGGGGGGGGGATTTTTTTCTACTAATTACACCTGTACAGATCTGGGTATGGCTTAAAATACCGTTAGAATATTTTTTTCTAATTTTTTGTTACCTTGGCTCGGCTACAGTTAAACATTTTGGGTTTTGAAATACACAATTCTATTAATATTCGTGTTACTACCACCAGCCTGGCGAACGCTGTCAAGAATACGTGACATGAATACCCCTAACGTTGTTAACTAGCATTCGTCTGAAGAGCGCAATCCCTCTGCAGTCGGTTATGATCTTGGGGAACGTCTCTGCTCATGGTTATCCAAGCATTCTCAATGAGACAGAGATCCAGCGATTTGGGTGAATGTGGCACAGCATAATAATCTCGGGGTGTTGCCGAAATCACACCTTCACGATACTGCTCGTGTGGATAGAGCTGTTTTATCCTGGACGAGGTAAAATGGATCCGGATCGGTGAAGAACATGGCCCTCACCGATGGCAGAAACATCTCGTCCAGGATTTCCACATATGCAAACCCCGTAAATCTGCCGGGCCCGACATTCGTCGACTCCCCGACTCCGCTGCCGTGCATCCACTCCAACTGCCCAACGATTTCTGAGTCTGAGTACTGTAGCCAGCAGAGCAACAGGAGTTCGCATCCCTTGTGGTAGTTATGGATAATGAGAGTACATGACTAAGAAGAAAATGGTTCACAGTAAGGGGACATGGCAACTAACTACCTACACGTCCCCTTTTCCCTTTTCGAACCCAGTAAGGTGTGTTGCCACGATTGGGTTTCTTTAACTCATGACATTCATGCACTTTAATGCAAGCTTCCTATTCATCTTTCATAGAGCACATTGAATTGTAGTTTTGCATGACACTTACTTGATAATCTTCCTCTATGGTGCACATAGGGTGCCCACTCCCACCCTTGTCTCTGATGGATCTAGTTGCTTGGTGTCGCTGGATTCACAAGCGACACGGTTGGGTTCGAAATAACTAACCTTGATGTTACGGAACTTGATAGTCTCTTAGAGTAAAGCGTAATTATGACACTGCAAATGGTCTAAGAGGTCTCCATTGCTAATTGTGGCATAATATGAGGAACTTGCCATATCAACTCCGAAACACTATTCGAACACATAATGAAACTCCCGAGTAATGATACTTTTTTTTACAGACTGTACATATAGCACTCAGGTATCAAGTGGAAAGGAACTGTACAGAGCTCACTGATTCTTGATCAAATGTTTTGATAACGAGCAATTAAATGAAGGAGCGGTACCAGTGTACCTACAACTGCATATTATTGTAACAGTCAAAGGCGTGTACTGCACACTAATGGCATAGAACTTGATAAGAAAATAATCTGATACCTTTTTCTTATTAATAAGAGAGAGTATTTGTATTTTGGACGCGTTATATTTCTGCCAAAATCACTTCGAAACAGAAACCTGTAGTGGTAAGTAAACATGAAAAAAGCGAATAATCAAGATAAGACATAGACCTATCTAGCAATAACAATTACATGACAACCACTCGATACAACTTGTTTATCACTTAGGAGATACGTTATATATACAGTGATTACTACTGCAAGAATGGAAAATGGAAGCAAGTGCAACAAGACTCACCCATCACAGCTACAAATAAGGGAACAGCTCTTACGCAGGATAAAAAAAGTAAAATATAGATAAATAGATAGGGCCGGATTGGCTAGGTACCGAACTGTGAGAAGTTTGGAAGCCCCTTGTGAAGTTCTATAAAGGTGTTATGAAGCTTGAAAAAAGTAATGCCTTAAGTAAGAGCAAAGTAAATAAGCGGATTACTCACATGAATGAAATACACAGTGAATTCTAAAATTACCAAATAACAGTGACTCATTAACTGATGAGCAAGGCCTCAAGCTTTAGATTATTTAGCTTTTACGTAAATTACATTATATATACTCACACACACATGCATATATATGTATGTGTATGTATGTATATTTAAATATATATATATATATATATATATATATATATATATATATATATATATATATATATATATATATATATATACATATATAAATATATATATATACATATATACATATATATATATATATATATATATATATATATATATATATATATATATATATATATATATATATATATATATATATATATATCATTCACCAGTCAGGACTTTGACCTCTCTCAGTTCATTATTGAGAGATTATTTGTCAGTCAGCCAAATCAATCAGCCCTTGCCTGACTGAATGCCTTCCTTATAAACCACGGTTCAGTGGTCTCCCACGGTAGCGACTTCCCTAATGACACTTCTCAAGGAACACACACACTTATATATATATATATATATATATATATATATATATATATATATATATATATATATATATATATATATATATATTTAGGGAAGGTAGATGCGAGATCAGACCTCCCCGGGAGCCGAGAGCGTGGTAGTGGCGAGCTAGACCGACCCTGTGTCTTCATCTGTGTACTTCCATCTCACCCTCCCCCTCTGCCTAATACCTGTCCTTTTATTCGGCGGCTCCCCTCGAGGCAGGTGCTTGCTTCCCCCCGCCGAAGTAACTCTCTGGAAGGAAGG